TTAATGTATTATTACTTAAATATCTTTAACTAAAATATACTTAATTTAAAAGTATACAAAATCCTGAAATATGATTTATTTCAATGTACTTAAAGAAGTTAAATTCCTAATTAAATTTTATTAAACCAAATTGGTCCGTAGACAATTTGTAACAGCCATAACAAGCTCATGTTACGTCTTACCATAAATCATAATTTAGTTTTTTTTTTATTAAGATGCCGCGGCAAAATGTGTGCTAATTGACGTTTTCCTACTTGCATTAGTTTGTTAAAGACGATCGCGTTGCTGACTGATAGATAATGATGTAGCACATTCATTTGTACTATTCTCGACTAGTTTCAGTACTTTCATTGATTTAGTATAAGAAATAACCAATCTTTGAGATTTTCATCCAAATTAAGATGTGAGAGTTTGTAATATACACATTCCTACAAATTTGTTTGATTATAATGATATTACAACTTTATTATAGGCTGAACACTCAAGGGATATTTAGTCTGTGAATATTCCTCTACGTTTGGTTTGCCTCTTAAATTTTAAGTCCGAGGTGAGACAATCCTCGGCGAATTTTAATTTAGTCATAAGTATAATAATTCCTTGTTACTACATAAATTATGTACAACTAAGTAAGTACTCTTTTATGGATCTGATCATAGACACTCTGCTAATGTCCAATAGCAAAACAAATAAAAAAATCGATCGAATGTTTCGACTTGTTACCAATTTAATTTAGAATTTCTATAATAAATTTTTCAAAATTTGGTTAACTTTTCATTATGTTCTATTAAAAACGATTACAGGCGCATGTGTAAACAAAACAGCTACATTATATATTACTTGGTAGAAAATTGTAAACATTGGTATAGGTATTTGTCTTATTATTTGAAATTGTTCATTCCATTTAGATCATTCTATTTCTTTAGTTCCGGGGGCAAAATTCTAAACGGTATTCGTTTTTTTTTATCGACCGCAAAATGCCAAGTATCTAAATCATATTTTAAAATTCCATACATACTTGTGTGAGCGTCCTGATGCGTATTTGGACCTCTTAGCAGAATTCCAGATCATTTGTTGGGCGAACATCGAATTCCGGACCCTAACACGTGAAGCAAATTACGTGCCATGTCATTAGTTAAAAAAAATGTCGCTAATTGGTGTTTTTGTTACTACTGCAATCGTATGTAGAGTTTAACAAGGAAATGAATATAGCTAAAAATATATATAATGTTACAAAGAGCAAGAGATTAGATTTTTTTGTTTTAAAACTAATATTATAGAGAGGAGGAGATTTGATTATTTCTTTTAATAAAAAAAAAAAAAAACAAAATAACATACCTGAATTGAAAGTTCTTTCACCTATTCACATTATGAAAGAGTAATATGGGCTGTAATTTATTTGTCTATCTACCCGTGCGCGGGGTAGGGCGTTAGTTTATTTGTAGGTAGAAATATATTTAGAGTGTAGTATATAATACATTAATGCGAAGAAAGAGAAAACTCGATATAAAATTTTATACCAAGCCGTTTGGCTAGTATCTACGTTAGTTAACATTAGGCCCCTGTCAGAGGTCCGGAGCTTAGTTTTAATTTTTTGTTAATAATACCTATTATATATTGTTAGATGTTAGTTTAAGTGTATACCTAAAAATTTATTTATTGTAATTTTTTTTTTTTTCACACAATCACGTCAATCACCTCAAGCTGGAATACCAAGCAACGAACATCTGAGAGTGTACACTGGGATGTATCCTAGAACATCCAGATTCAAATAAGTTTAGAAAAGTTTCTTTCCTACTTGTAAATTGGCTCGACCGAGAATCGAACCTGGATGCAAAGTAAACCCACCGCCGCAACACGGATGTCATGGTTTTGTTACGTTATTTAAAGTACAGTAGTATAATTTAATTTTAATTTAAATACTTAGGTACTCGTACTTACCTAAAATGGACGAAAATACCTTAGTATTAACAAATAAATAGGTAATATTGTAGAGAACTAAAGCACAGAAAAAATATTTTACCTGTAACTACAACTGGTACCCATTATGTACTAAATATTACATTATGTATTAAGGATAGTACTTATGAATATGTTGTAAAAAAAAATCATAAAAGAATTGAGCAGAAATCTAACCCATAACACAAAATCCTCTTCACCTAGGGATGGGTAATACATACCAATATATTGTAGTTACAATATTTATATATTGGTCCAATAAAAATATTTAATATCGGATACCTAATAAATAATATCGAAATGAAGCACCCGATCCAAGTGAATATAGATATCCAACTGCTATGGGCGCAATCGGTACAAGGAATTTTTTTTTTTGCCATCAATGGCCAGAGAATCGAAGATATTAGGTATCATTACCAACTGTTATAACATGTGTCTCCAAGGTCGTCAAAATTAACCATCACTACTGTAATTTTTAATAAAAGAGACTTTTACAGATACCAGAAGTAGATTTTAAATAAGTGCACACTGCATTACCAATGTACCTTCTGTCTCACCTATAATTTTTTTTGTCAGGTAATATATAAATATATACAATATTAGCTGCTTTCAGTGGGTTTACTTGTGTGTATCAGTATATAAAATTTTATATGTTAAGTTAGGATATAATCTATCCGTGTACAAAATTTCATTCAAATCCGTTTAGTCGTTTAAGCATAATTAAGTAACAAACATCCAAACATCTTTACAAACTTACATTAGTATGCATATTTAGTAGGATAATATGCAGGCAGCTACCGGAATGAATGATGTGATTGTAATTAATATTGTATTAATATCCCGTCTTCCTTAACCGTTTAATCTGGTAAACCAAACAGCGTCAATATCTAGACCACATGGGTCATTACAATCAAGTGAATCCATTTTAGGCTTAAACTCATTAGCCATAAGATCTAGAATGAGGAATAAGTTAAATTGTTGGGATACACTATTTTTCTTCGCACCCTACGTAATTAACTGTCTACCCTACAGCATACTAAATACCTATTTAGTCGGAACTATCGAGTTAGAGAGAGAGGATAATATATTATTAAGACTGTTAGAAAGTGACAGATGATATGGGGTAATAGATATCACCCCAAGTCTTCACGGCTGGTTATGATTTTAGGGTGTCGGTGAGCGTATGGGAGTCCGGTCGCCCTATTTGAGGGTTATTTTTGGTAAGTCGCTGTGAAGTGATAGGAAGATGTTTATTTTTGAAGTCAACTGTAGCTATTTAATGTAAGGAGGGCTTTTTGTGTAACGCAAATAGATGTTATAGATAAATATACACTATAACAAGGTGAAATTGAAGGATGGTAATAATTTTTTATAGGAGTGTTCTATTATTACATTTGAACACTTACACAAAGGAAAACGTCAACAATTTTATGCCTCACATTAGGCATGAGCAATACGGATATTGATCTAATATCTATATATTGGGTTTCTCTGGACATTGATGGCGGGGAAAAGGTCATCCTCTATTTCGATATCGCCCATATCGGTCGGATATCTATTTTCGAATAAGTTAAAAGTCTGTTATCCAACTTTATTTTTTGGATAACAGACTTAACATACTCGTTATTGTATCAGTATATAGATACTCTAACTAGAACATATAGATATTGCTCTATATTGCCAAACCCTACCTCACATATTAACTTGACAGTTGGACATGCCGTCATGTAAATACAGGATCAATAGTTTTAAATTTTAGTTTAAAAAATTTTGTACTCACAGATTTATTTTAAAACATCTTAATCTATAAATGCTTATATCTATTGGCACAAGAAGAGTACCCTACAAATAAAGATAAATGTTCTTGAAGGTATATTACATAGAATTAGTATATAGATTAAAAAAATAAATAAGAACAAAGAACAAAAGGTGAAATACTTAGAGCAAAAACTGGAATATAGAATGATAAACACTAACGCAAAGGTAAAGAAAGAAAAATAAAGATTAATGTAGAGACAAAATTGTTCACGGCTATAGTTATAAAACACAGTTAGTTTAAAGTTATTTTAGAACTATTTTAATTTGTTTTTTAAATGTTTATTTACATGAAACAAAAATTGGAACTGTAGGAGAAAGACTAGAATGTGACTTGCTCGGTCTAAATCCACCTTTAGATGTTTATAGGCTTATTGTAGCGTTACGGCACTAGTCATCTTGAATATTCCCGATTGTCATTAGGTGTTTGAATATCACTAAAGCATGACATATATGTATCTAAGCATGAAAGGCGTAGAATTAACCTAGATGCACACATATAATTAATTTTATAGTAAAAAAAAGAAATTAAAAAAACATACTATAGAAAATATCTTGACTTGAAAATTTGGAAAAATTAATTTCTTTGGTAGTTTAATACACACTTAATTAATTTACAATAATGCGACCAAAAATAATTGTCTGAGAAACGCATAATAAAATAAATATTTATGTAATTCATTATCTCATAGGCTTCCATAATATATAGTTTTATTCTTATGGCAGGTACTCTTTAGTGAACTAAAAGCTTAGTTATAGCTACTTAGATATTATATAAAACATTATATTTAAACCGCTTTGTAAATAATTGCCTCTACCGTCACACTAAATCAGTGAATACTAATTTGAAACGGATCCGCAAACAGCAAATATCGAAATTCAAAACGTTGCCCCTCGCCGACACTAAGCTCATAAAGGGAACAACTCGAGAATCGCTCAAAAGGATTTAACAAGCGGCATTCACGACTGCTCATTATATTTTTATACTTTATACCTCGGTGGCGGACATAAACTCCGCGATCAAAACGCGCGAACCCCTACAAAAAAAAAAAAAAAAAAATCGAGTATCACAAAGGAGACTAACGAGATAAGAGCGTGCTAAATCGCTCTCCCCTTGGCCCCCGCTCGGATCAATTCGGGACAGAACGGTCGATTGGCTGAGCGGGACAGCTTCATGGAGGCGGGTTACATTATAGACACGCCTCTGAACCGGTACGAGGTTTCCCTACGCTTCACGGCCGACAGTCAACCTCCGACCGCGCTCGCATGCGTACACGATCCTCCGATCGCGACACCAAAGTGTGAACTGTGCTAAATGGAACTTACCGGCGTTCAATGTTAAAGAAACCAAGTTACGAGGACAAAGAAGTGAATATGGCGATACAGAGTGTTTCGAGATACCCAAGCAGCCCTGCTGAAGCTACTGAGCCTCCAAAAGCTTCTAGAATTAGCTTCAGCGTAGCGTCTATCCTAGCTGATACAAAGGCCAATCAAATTGATGAGACAGCAGAGATGATCCGGCACCATAGGACGATACCTGAATCTCCGCTGAGACAGTCACCATTGGCACAGCCTGAGTTGCCCGGCGGCAAATCGTTGTCCCCGAGGCCGTTATCTCAAACACCTCCGTTAAATCTTAACGTCTCTGCAACAGTTACCTCATCTGATGACGAATACGAAGATTCTGTCAACCAAGAAGATTCAATAGTTGATGTAGAGGATTTGCAAAATGGTGGGCAGAGTGAGGATGAGGAAAGGATGTCGAGTAATGATAAGGGAAGATTAGTAAAGCCTACACCCTTCAGCGCACTTGCGGCGGCAGCTGTAGCGTACCATGGTTTGGGTTGGCCAGGTCCCCCGTCAGTCGTGCCTTCGTTTGGACCTTTATTCCAATCACATTTCCCTGTAGGACACTTAACAGGTTAGTAACGTTAATAAATATAGGTATATTTTTAGTTTTATTGGATTAAATAGATATTAATTAAATATTTTAGTATGTCTGAAAGTAACAATATTTTTTTTTAATATTTAGATACATGTAGATTCCAATATATATATATATATATATATTGTATTTATATATTGTATGTTGATATTCTATAATAGAAGTTCTTTGAGTATATGCTTTTATGTAGTTAATTTGGTTTGCTCCGTTTATTCATTGTATTAAAGGCATTTTACCTAATTAATAAGATTATCATATAATTTCAACATGAGTACTATATAGAATTTGTAATTATGTCTTCATTGTTGAACTTATAGATTTTTTTTTCTAATTTATTAAATACTTTCCCGTTAAAATACTGGAAATGGTATCTATTACTATTCCGTGTTTAGTGGTTATTTTTACGATAACCTTTTTATAACTTTCTCCCTTTCTTCTGATAATATCTACAATATTATAGGTCTAGTTTTTGATTCAATACTGTTTATTACAATTACATAATGTACAACTAAATATCGTAATTTTTATAATTTATGTTTCTTTACATCTGGACTTCAAATTGTTGTTACTCAAGTAAGGATTACCAACTATTTACTTTTAAATGCTAAGGTAATCTACCTTTAATTTGAAAAAGTCCAATTGTTGGAAAATCTTGGAAATTGTTGCGATATATGGATAGATAAATATCCTAATAAATAAAGAATAGACTTTATTTTTTTTGTTATCCGCGATTTTTTTTTTACTTTTAGAAGTATATTTAGATGTTTTGTTATTTCTAAATGCATAATTAGCGGTTATTCTACTAGTGTTCTAATAAAAGTTGAATTTTAAGACATTTGTTACAAACATTAAGATAGACATTTTTATTTATTTATTTATATTTATTTCAGTTTTGTTTAGGCTTGTTAAATATTATTTTTAGGTACATATATAGTTAGTTGTTTTATTATTAATATCTTTTTAATGGGTGACAATAAAATGGTAACTCCGCCTGCGCTATCGGTATATGCTGGCGGGGCACCAATGATAGATGAGGATAAATGCAGGTCAGTTATTTATTAAAGACACATATATCTAAATTAAAAATCATAGGTCCAATTATGGCTTATATCAAATTATTTATCTATATGATTTTGTACATTCACTTATTAATATTAATATTGAAGAAGAAAAAAAAAAACTAATTGTGACAAAATCAGTTATTTTGATGTATAGAATAACATAAAAATACAACCGAATTGTGGACCTCCTTTTATTTGAGGTTGGTTGAAAAGTACCTATGTGTTTTGTAATATAATACCTATATATATATATATATATATATATATATATATATATATAGAGGTATATATATATATATATATATATATATATATATATATATATATATATATATTTGAAAACAAAAATTATTTCACCTCGTTTATCATGATGATGATCTCGTTTAACATGACTATTAACTGTAATTATGTATTACCTCATATTATAAAATATGAGGTAATACATAAAAGAAAGACTTGCCCAACCATTGATGCGTAAGAAGGTTGGTATTTGTATTAGATACCTACTCTTAAATTTCATTAGTAGTTTGGTAATGAAATTTAAAAGTATATAACGAAAAACAATTTGTATATAATGCGGGCTTTTGGAATTTTTAAAATCACAGTATTGCTGGCATTCTATACTTTTTAATTTACTCATATTTTGTAATTTTCTTCAATTATTACACGTACGTTTATGTAATTTAACGTGAGGTAGTAGCGAATGGTGATTTAAAAGGAATCTTTTTGGTATATCTATAGGGCTATGGACCTCGTATTGTTGTTTTCAAGTTAGTCATAAAATATAATGTCTTATATTTGTATCAATAAAAGTTTAGTACTGTATCTTTTTTCAATGAAGAAAATTGTATAACGCTCGCTGGATGCGTAAATCCATTTTTTGTACTTACTATTATTTTTTTATATAATTTTTGTACTTATAAATATGTATTAGGGTATTTACGCTATTCTGGTCCAGGTACTACTTGTTTAAATGGTTAGAAATAAAAATAGATCGATTAAAAAAAAAAAGTTTTTATTAATATATCAAAGTCTTCTGATAAGACATGGATCCTATTCAAATATGTTATTTATACATTCATGGGTATTGGCATAATAATTAAGGTTGTTGCATTAAGAGAACCGATTTCAATTGATGCAAAACCAAAAAAATAAAGTAATTTTGATTTAAAAACTAAACTACTGAGGTGATTTTGATAATATTTCTATGGGACTGATCTGTAAGATATCCATACAGATGAAAAAAGAATTTTCCAAATCGGTTTACAATGAACTTACGATGGAGTTATGAGGTAATTAATTCAGCTAAAAATACAAACAAATTAATGATACTCCTTCTTGTTTAAATCGATCGAAAATAGGTGTATTCTGTTATATTAAGTTTATATCTTACTAGATTTATAACATAATAGATTATTTCTCCTAAACTGTTAACTGGTCGAAAACGCTATTGGCTGTCACTACTTACTTTTTAGCTATATTTTTTTAGGAATTTAAAATTATTTAAATAAATTAATGAATATGTAAATAATTGTATTTATTGAAAAAATATTTACAAAAATATATATTATTTCAAGTTCACTATTAGAACACGTGACTATAATGAGTCTACCTATATCTAGCTACATATTAAGTGTGTTGTAATTTAATCATGAACAATAGATACCAGAACAGGAATTATATATTCACTTACCTACACCTATACAGAAAACAATTGAATTGATTTCAGTTTAAATATATCTAATTAGCACCAATTACATAGATAGATCTGTTTATCTGCTATTAACTGCAACATGATATCCGTTTAAATTTTAAAGCAATAAATAATACTTACATACCTATTGAGTAGGTACTGTGTTTGTACTGTTATATATATATATATATATATATATATATATATATATATATATATATATATATATATATATATATATATATATATACATGAGCAATACCATGGACGTAACAGAGTATACTGTTTCGCCCATGAATCCCCCCCATGCGTAGCCATTCCTGGCGACTCAAGTATTATTCCTCTGTACCTTGTCAATTCTCTATATTTGGTAAAAATACCTTTTTATCCTGATGTTTACAAGAAAGGAGTTAGGAATTTACTAATACTATTTACATCTTATTAGTCAAATGTTCAGGTTTATGTAAAAAATACAAGGCTGCTATTAGAGGTTTAGATAAAATAAGTTTATCAATATAAATATTATATTCGTTATATGAAAATGTAATGTACTTGTAATCTTGACATTAAATCCATTTTCTTCATCAAAAAAGGTACACTACTAGATTTTTATGGATACAACTATAAGAGGCAAGATATTTTTTTTTGTTATTGTTATAACAAACAATAAACAAACACAATATCCATAGATCTGTAGATTTAGGAAATAGATTGCTTTTAAATCACCTTTCACTGCTGCCTCAACAATGATAGGCATTTGCCTAAGCGAGCGTGTTTCGAAAATCCACTAGTCCTTCGTGAACAAACGACCAAACAAAGGGTTAAAGCCGTACATAAATAACGGATCTGTCGAAATGTGAAAACAATACGCGGCTTTGAACAAGATGGCGGGATCTGGGCAACATGGCGACTGTTTTGCATAATGTGTCGAAAGGGTTGACAGTAATCACGATGAAGGTTAAACATACTTGTAGCTAAAAAAATATTTACTCGGGGCTATTTTTGAGCAATAATAGTTGCCCGGCAATGGTAAACATTAATGGGTAATTTTTAAACTATTTAAATAGATGGTTGCCAATTTGTATGTAATTTTTTTGTGTGAATCTTACATGAATTTGGTAAATTTTATTATTTTTTCGCAATCTTTTGTATGACTCTTTATTGTGTGTATTATGTATCTATGTATTGGTCTCATTAAATTTGTAACAAATTCTTAAATTACCTGTATAATTTACAATTTGTTCAGTATAGCACTCCACATTTCTATTGTCTTTGGTAAAATGTATACAACTAACCAGAGATAATAAAATTGTGGACTTTTATTTTTCATTATCGATATTGTGGTCGTGTATGTGTACGGTAGTAATATTTTTTGGTGCATGTTTTTATGTATGTGTATGTTATTATCGGATCTTTGATGCTAAGTGTAAATGCCCCTTTATAAATGGGGTGTTGGTTGATGTTTAATTGTGGTAGTAATATAAACTATGTGACAACAGTAAGTATAATTTGAAAATGGTGAAACTAAACTGTTTATAAATTAATACATGACGAGAAGAACATAGAACAGATGGATAATATGTATATTTTGTCGTAAGAGGTGACTAAGGGAACTTAATGATCTAGGGATGGGCAGTAGTTTTCTTCTTAAAACATCTCTAAAGCCTAACTGCGGTTGCCCTCCTGCCAAGTGTGGTAACTATTGTCAAAACCTTTCAATAGGGGGAGGCCTATATTCAGCAGTGGAGAGTTAACGGCTGATATGGATGTATGTATTTATTACCTATGTAATATTACCCGAGATACTTTTCCCATTATATATAAGTCACAACAGATAGTAACATACGAGTACATATTCAATTATAGACTGCTAGTCTTATTTGAACTTACACTACTGTACTATTATAGGTGCTATACCCTATAAAAATAAAATATAAAAAAAGGCTTTAGAGATGTTTTAAGAGAGACGCTGCTGCCCATCCCATGACCATTAAGTTTCCTTAGTAGCCTTTTTCAACACCCACGGGAAAGAAAGGAGTAGCCTATTTTATGTTGGGATCATATGGATTACAGACCGTATATAGATAATAGGAATTTGCAATTGTATGACTTCACAATAATAATATTTATAGGTGTGCCGTGTGGTTTCGGCATAGAATGGGTTACCCCATCCTTTTCCGTAAGTGTTGTAAGAGGCGATTAAGAGAACTTAATGGTCGACG